ATCTTAGAAAAATTATTCATCGCTCGCAAAGTGCCAAGCAAAGCAGAATTCTTTTCTGATGACAGTGAGCGCTTAATCGAACACGAGCGACAGCGATGGAAAGCTGGCCACGGGCCAGACCGTCCATCTGTCCGTCCGTCCGTCTCAAGCCCAGAGCCGCACCTTAGCTCCACCTGTGTCGTCTCGTGAGCTCTGCTCTCAGCTGCCTGCAGAGAGGAGTGCCACCTGTTCCTCCCAGTGAAGTGTGACTGGGATCAGGAACCAGACTGTTGCCAACCTTATGGGCACAGACCCAAGTTGGACCATATACCCTGTGGGTACTGCTCTGCTCTGAGCAAAATGGAAATGATAAGGATCAAGCAAAAGGAGGGAGATGCACAAGTTATTGCATCTCAAGAACATAATAAGGCTCTTTATCAAATGCAAGAGTTATTATATTCTCCCTCTGTCGGTGTTGGCTGATTTGCTGTTTTAAATCCACTTCTACTCTGAGAGGAGAATGTCTTTGATTAAGAATTAGCGGAACAACAAGATGGTCTGTGTGTGTGTGTGTCATTCCAAAGGGAGGATTACTTTGCCACAGTGTAATGGAGCTAAAGGACAGATCAAAGATTAAAAATGTATTTAGACTGCAATGATATCAGGCAGTCAAAAATAAAACACTCAACAGTGCAAAACTTTCTAGGAGGTTTTGATATCTGTGTTTTATTTGCGCTGGGTACCTTGATGTTCTTCAGCGAATAGGCAATTTCCTAAAACCCATATTATGGCACAAGGTACGATATTGCAATAATTCTCACATCCTAATAAAGGGAAACGGCAGTACACTTACCATTGCCATGTTCATAGTTTATGCTTTCAAAATAGGATTACGCAAGTGTCCGTTTTCAGAGTATGTCTGCAAAATTCTTGTAATGGAAAAAAACATACCACCCCTCCCCACACTGTACTCATATGTCAATAATTCCCAAATGTCCATTCCAGATACAGCAAAGCTTCTTAATATAAAATAATAATAATAATAATCCTTATTACCCCCAGAAAGTGATCCACCAATCGACTAACAACTGGGTTACCCAGGTAAACAGAGACGTGTGGAGTAAAGAAACTTGCCAAAAAACACAGAAATGTCTGACAGAGAATGGAATTGGATCATTTGGATGTATCGGAAATGAAATTTACACAGATTCTTCGGTTTATCTGTCAACAGCATTTTTTTTATTGCTGGACATCTGCGGCCTCTCTTTTTACAACTTAAGTTTTGTGAGAAACGTAAGACTGAGAGCATGCTTGAAATTGTTAATCGGCTTAGCGATGAATAACATCAAGGGCTGACGGGATCTGCATTTATTTAATTTGAACCTTTCGAGGCCCGAAGCGCTTTTCATTTTATAGGAAACAGATGTTTCTCTTCATATTTGTTTAAACAAAATGATGGTCGGAAAGCAAAGCCCCATGAGGACACTATAATAGGAAGAACGTAAGGAATATGGTATTGAAATGGGAGGCCCACAGTGAGGTGGTACTGGGAAATGTCCATTTCATTGCAAAACCTTTCTCGTTCAAAACTGGGGGGAGCTCTCCGTTGTCAGAAGTGTCAAATGTTGGGCAAGTTTCCTTACCCCACACGTCTCTGTTTACCCAGTCAGTAGGAACCCGGCTGTTAGTCAATTGGCGGATCGCTTTTCCGGGGGTAATAGTTCCTTTAAAAAAATAATAAATTGGTCACTTCAATCTACGAGTGTCTGTGGGACGCTGCTGTGCGCAATTGGCTGCCGTGTTTCACCCACAAAATATAGAATCAATTCACTTTACCGTATAGTCTGTGAAGCGCTTTGAGATGTCGTAAAGACGTGATGAGGCGTCTATATAGCAAACGCAATTTTTTTTATTATTTTTATACAAACAGAGAGGAGGAATTTTTTTTTCTTTCCCCAGTGCCCTCGATAGCCAGCCTGCAAGTAAATTGACCATCACTTCATGGCACTTGATGCACATAATCAGGCACACTCTTCCCTGATTCTCCAGCGCCTTGGGACATTCTCCCGACGTGAAAGGGGCTATGCAAATGTAATTTGTTATTGCAATTTATCTATCAAACGCAAGAATTATTATTTTTGATGCAAAAGCGACTTAAGGAAGTCACGCAAATTTATGTTGGTATTACAGAAAGTCGAAGTATCATTTAGTCCTGTACAATGTTCTCTTCTGGTTCATGGGAGCCTCTAAGTTCTGGAGACTCGCTTTATGAACCTACAGTTTAATATTGTCCTTCAGTCTGTTTTTCTAAACGGTCACTTGAATAAGTAATAGATTCCATATTTGCTTCTGTTCTGCTGGAGGATGAGCCAAATCAAGCACCTTGTGTTTCAGATAACGTGTAAAACAGGCAAGGGCAAGATAATGTCACGTTACAATCCACCGAGGAATGCCAACATAGCAATAACAGGAAAGCACATCATTTTTCGGTCAGGACCTTGGCAGGCCTTGTGCCTTTTCATCAACAAATGAACAATATGATGTAGTTTTTAAAAGCGATGGAGGGGAAGTCATTGCACTCCCAGCTACGTAGAGCAACTTGGAATCAGTGCTAGGTACGTCTTAACATCAACTGAAACTGTTAACAATTCTGTGTGATGGGCAGCCCTTTGTGATTTCCTTTTTCAATGATAAATTGTTCATCCTTCCCGCTTATATTGTGTAATCCTATCATCCTGCATCCTTACAACTTATTGCTGCCGTTGAAATCGGAAGCAAAGTTGCGATTCAGCAGTTTTTTTTAAAAAAATCTTTCTTAAAATGTGCTTTTTTTTTGCAACCATTCATAGCCAACAACAAGAGTCATTCCCCAGTACTTAGAAATGTATTTGATTCACTGCGTGCAGTCAGCACTATTTATTTTCTGTTTCGGGTCAGATTCCCCTACAAATAAACAGTAAATCACGTAACCAGCTTTGAGATGTGCCCCTGATGTGAAAGGCACTGTATCAAACGCACAGATTAATATTAATAGTCGGAGTAATCATAAATATTTTCAGTGAACAAACCCCAAAACAGTAAGCACTGCTCGTTCCCTTTCTTAATGAGGATGTTGCCCTCCGAACCCATGATAGGACCAGAGTCACGTCGCGTCAGACACAGACGCATTCTGACTGACACGTATTGATCAGGAAGTACCTCTGTCCAATCTGAACTTTAAAAGGTCAATCGTTAGAGCTCTGTTTGTGTGGCCATTACTTACTGTCTTTCACGTCGTCATTAGCAGAGCAATTGCAATATTTATTTCCCGCAACCCGGGCAATGAAAGATAACAGCAACAGTAGGTCCCTTGATCAGTGCTCTCATTTCGTTGAGAATGTCACCCATTGCTACAGAGTTCCTCTCTTGGGTTCAGATTACTGGCTGATGGTATATTGGAGATTGGCAATGGGTTAGGTGGGTTCCTTGCTGCTAAAAACAACTCAGTCTCACACGAGAAGTCGATGCTGCTGGTGCCGATGCAACAAACCAGATATTGGTGAAAAAAAAGTTATTTTGAATTGCTGAGAAGGAAGAGGAGATCGGCGTAATTGCAGAGGGTGGGAGTTGGTCAGTAAAGCAGTGCTGTTCTATGTGATTTTGACGGTTCTATTCAATACCTTCGAGCGCAGGTTTGCAGTTTCAGCGTTTGTCTCGTAACAGAGGAAATGTGAAACATTTGATAACGGGTTCAATAACAATTTGGATAATCGGAGGATTCTATTCCGAACCGTTGCATTTTTTTTCCATATTCCAAAGTCGAGCTTCACTGGTGCAGCTTCAGAAAGTGACCAAGAATGACCCCTCAAAGAGACTTTCTGCTCTCCATTAACTCTCCCCGTACAAGAATAACAACAATAATAATCCTTGCATTTGATATAGCGCCTTATCGGGTCTTCAAGACATCTCAAAGCGCTTCACAGAATATACTGTAAAGTGAATTGAGTGTGTGTTTTGTGGGCGAATCGCTGCAGCCAAATTGCACACAGCAGCGTCCCACAAACAGTCGTGGATTAAGGGATCACATTTTTTTTAGGGGATTATTATCCCCGGGACAACGAACCGCCAATCAACTACCAACAGGGTTCCTACTAGGTAAACGTGCGGAGTCAGGAAACTTGCCCAAGGTTTCGCCCCCCCCCCCGGGAATCAAACCCAGGTCTCTCGCTTGCGAGGCGAGTGCTCTAACCGCTGAGCTACAATGCAACTCAATAGTTAGAGGTTCGTGTAAAATGGATGTAAAACCAAACCAGTCCAAGTGCCACTCTACCTGCTTCACAGAAAACAGTACCTGTGTCTTAATCCAGTTCATTTTACGCCATTAAAGATTGCAGCTGGTGAGGAGAGGAGGCTCCTTTACTTCGATAGTTCAATCACCCTTGGGTCTTGAAAGTTGTGATAATGTATTTCAACCACATCCCTCGCCGTTCTGGGCATAAATATTAGATGAAGGGTTATTGGATTTACATGAAATATTTAAAATTGATCAAGGCTTACGGTATGCAAGGTGACATGCAGGCGGCATCATTTTCTAAACCTTTATTTATTAATGTTTCTTTCAGGATCTTAAAGATAACCAATATTCTTGCCCCACTCTCCCTCTCCCCCACCCCACCCCCCCATTCACCATTCCGATATATTATCAAGATCATCTCTAGAGGGGGATCTGCTTCCAGGATGTGTTCACAGTGTTTCAAATCGCACCTTGATGAGTGGGTGCAAACCATTTCCTCCTGTTGGATCTGACTTTTGAACAGCTCCAGAAAATCATCTTCTCTTAAAAACAAAGAATTTCCAAAAATCTGCGTCATCGGAAATGTTAAACCAATGATTTCGAGGCAAAGAACGTGCGATATTTCAGCCTTCGGGTTGTTGCGAAACGTGAAAGTGCACAAACTTTTAGTGGGTTGATACTCTGTTCGGGTGTTGTGTCGTTTGACGATCTGGGAGGTCTCATCTTATTGTTTTGTTCCTCTCTGCAGTGGCCCACCCTCAGGACCCACGCCAACCGACAGAAAAGCCGGCCATTCACTGCTTCAAATGTGGAGACCCATGTAAAGGCCAGGTGCTACGTGTCCAAGCCAGACATTTCCACCTAAAGTGCTTCACCTGCAAAGGTAAGAACCCTGATGTCCGAGGGTTTTTTCTGCTGCTCTGTTCAGCTGGAACTGTGCCGTCACCTTCTACATTGCGAGCGCAGTGTGCAAGCTGTTTACACGTCCAATATTTGTGGTTTACTTGAAAAAGTATTTGACGCAACATCCACCATATGTTAGCAGTGTTCTTCCACTTTGGCGCCTTTTCTCCATGTTATCGGTGCATAATGCACCGCAAAGTTACATTTGTACAGGACCTTTCACGTCGGGAGGAAGTCCCGAGGCGCTGGACGGTCAAGGATTTGCACCCGAGGATGGAGGGGGATGGGATGGGGGGGGCGGGGTTGGAGGGTGGCCGATGGCACGGTTGAAGAGGAGGGTCTTGAAACGTGCTTTGAAGGAGGCGAGGGAGGGAGCGAGGGCGGAGGGAATGCGAGATGGAGTTCCAAAGGGTGGGGGCAGACAGGCTGAAGGCCGGATGGTTGGACAGGCCGGATGGGGGATGTGGAGCAGGCTGGAGCCTGTCGAGCAGAGGGAGCGGACAGCTTGATATGAGGGTCAGCGGGTCACGGATGAGAGCTATCAACAGGGGAGAGCACCAACTTCCTCCCTTCCTCCCTCCTTCCCTCCCTCTCTCCTCTCTTCTCCTCTGATGGTAATGCTTACAGGACGTGGAGTCCTGTAGCTCAGTGGTTAGAGCACTCGCTTTGCAAGCGAGAGACCTGAGTTCAATTCCAGGCAGGGCGAAACCTTGGGCAAGTTTCCTTACTCCACACGCCTAATAATAATCCCTCCAAAACCAAAAACAATAATTAAATTGGTCATTTTCAATCTATGACTGTTTGTGGGACATTGCTGTGCGCAATTGGCTGCCGCGTTCGCCCACAAATATACAGTCAACTCACTTTACAGTATATTCTGTGAAGCGCTTTGGGACGTCCTCCCGACGTGAAAAGCGCTATATCAAATGCAAGGATTATTATTATTATTATTATTAACTAAACACTCATATGAGGGTATGTTACAGCCATTTCTGAGGAATTTCCAAATCAGCTCAACGCTTAGAACAGCCTGAGAGAGCTCACTCACAAACATTCTACCTTGGCACCATTATTTGACGAGGAGCAGAGGTTGACTGAATCTTCTCTTTATATTGTTCGTGTTTATTTTTGGGGTATAAGGTGGTGGAAATTTACCCAAATTGGTGGAACTATGCTGATGCCATCATTTGACCATCACTGTGCCCTCCTCCTCTGTTTACTGTCAGGTTAGAGGTATCTTTGGTTTGAGCCAATGCCCTTTGTGGCGTCCTCACAGTGTAATTGTTACCTCCCCCCTGAAAATCATTCGTCCTGAACTCTCCCACATTTTAATCAAACCAGTTCAGTTTAGATATGGCCCCCAATGACTTAAGATAACAGAATCATTTTGCCCACAAAACATACAGTCTTGGGTTAGGGTACCTTCTGTGAAGCGCTTTCAGACGTCTAGAAGACATGATAAGGCGCTATTTCAAATGCAAGGATTATTATTAACATTATTTTCTGAGTCTAAAAGGCATTGTTTTCTAACAGTATTGGGCACTCCTTTACGGAAGTGGTCACTCATGTCACAAAGTAGATTGAGTCAGTTTCCATGAATTAGCCTTGAATTCCTTACTGTTTCCTGAAGGAAATCTTATTACAATGTGCAATTTTTTTATACAGCAAATGCTCATAAATTCTCACAGTTGTATAGCCTTCAGAACATTACTTTAAAATGCTCTTAAAATGTAAGACAATAGTCTTGAGGCTTGGACCATGCAAAATGCCAAGCCCCAAATGTCAGCAAAGATTGTAATCATACTCTCTGCTTATTCTGATTCTGAACCTTTTTTTGAATCATGGAGTCCTGCAGCACAGTGGTTAGAGCACTCGCCTCGCAAGCGAGAGGACCTGGTTTTAATTCCCGGGCAGGATGAAATGTTGGGCAAGTTTCCTTATTCCACATACCTCTGTTTACTTGGCAGTAAATAGGAATAAATTTTAAAAATAAATAATTTTGTCACTCAATTCACGACTGTTTGTGGGACGCTGCTGTGCGCAATTGGCTGCCGCGTTTCGCCCGGAAAACATACAATAAATTCACTTTACAGTATATCCTGTGAAGCGCTTTGAGACGTCGCAAAGACATGATAAGGCGCTATATCAAATGCAAGGATTATTATTATTTTTTGTGCAGCGATTTAACCCCTCCCTCTGTTAATCCCAACAAAGATAAACATGAGTTACAAAAATAAATTAGAAAAACACATGTGACGGACACCTTAGGCAAAGGTCCACTTGAATCTGTACTCGTGCAGTTCTTCAATTGCACAATCTCGTTCCAAGAAGTTTGAACAAGTCCTGGGATTCCTAGACGAAGGAATGTTAATGGGGCTATGAATAGGGTCAGGTTTTTCCGCTCCATAACGCATACATAATGCCTTGAATGTTCCTTTTAAGCTTGACCTTCAGAGGTACTTCAGAGGTTGTGTAGCTCCACGTCAATTGACTAAGGTGTCCCCTGCCAAACTACAGTGAAATCAATCAGGTGCTATTACCAGGCTGGAAAGTCAAATCTCCCAAAAGCACAGCAGGCATAAATGAATTTCCTTAAAACTAGAAAACACCAAACTAATTAGTAATAAGTGCAATTGTTGGTATTCCTGGGCTAGTGTTCAAATGATGCACAAGTAAAAATTGACTCTTGGTTACCCGGTTGATAACACGTAGCTAATAGCCAGCAATCAGTTTCAATTCACGTCTATGCATTGCGGCTGATTAATGCAGCAAAGGCAACATAGGGGTCACTTTCCACTGACAAAAAGGCGAGACACCTTTAAACCGCAGGACTCAATAAGCCTTTGCTGCCCTTCAGATAATACCCAGTTCTGACACTTGCCAATGTGTATGTCTGACATATGTATTGCAAGTCTCAAAACTCTTAAGACGGTGCAGAGGAGGAACATTCTGAGGTTAGGCAAAGAGTTGGAGCAAAGTAGTTTAAAACTCAGGACACTTGGGAAACTTTGGTATGCAACCTGGAGAGACAGCTTTACTGAAGTGTGTTTGACCTGAACAAGTCCAGTACTACAGCAATATGCAGATCAGCCCCACCCGGATGCCTTTTCCTGTTGTGTCTGAGTTTGACTACCAAAGTAGATAGCTCTTTTGTAACATTCTGCTCCTCTCGTTCCATGATCGATGACACAGCGTAAAAGTGTCATCTTGTGTTGTAATCGTCAGCGGGGAAAAAAACAAACAGTCACAGTTCTAACTGGTGGATATCAAGGTTTCTCTTAAGTAGCCTTGACTTGATTTCTTTCCAAAAGATATTTCGACCAGGGTCAGTTAATAGCAAGTTATCTACAGTGACAGAGTTGGCAGGAACGTAATACCGAAGTAATTCACGTGAGTACTCAAACCCCTTTTTAAAACCTATCTCTTTGACTGTGCTTTCAGCCACCTCTCCTCTCTTCAGCTCCCCTCCAACTTGAGCTCCCAGTTACTTGTGCAAAGCATGTCCTTCTGACGTGAAAGACACCGTATAAATGCAAATTGTTGTTGGTGGTGTTGAAATTCAAAAGCAAGTTCCTTACGCTATAAATTGAAGGTGTCCTCAGATTAACTGTAAGGAGAATGCAAGCATTAAATAATTTGTACATGAAAAACGAATGTGTTTTGAAATGAAAAAGGTTGCCATGTCGCTACAACAACAACAACTTGCTGTGAAAATTAATTTACCTGAAAAATCTAAGTTATTATTAATTGCTTAATTTTACTGCATTTTTTTTGCGCGTTCATAAGAAAATTTTATAGTAAGAATATTGGCAGCCTGAGAACATTTACCTGAAAATGTAACTGCAAATACAGAGGTTTGTCTACAAGTACATAGTTGCTACACTTTACTGCAAAATCCTGTGAAGCACTTTGGGACGTGAAGCAGATCATCCAGAACTCTGCACACCGACTCCATTGGCTTCCCATCACACAGCGGATACAGTTCATTATCCTGTTCCTCACCATCAAAGCCCTCCATGGCCTTGCTCCCCCCTACCTCTGCGACTCCTAACCCCTACCATCCTGCCTGCTCACTGAGCTCTGCGGGCTCCGGCCTGCTTTACGTCCCCCGCCTCGCTCGCCCCACTATTGGCAGATGGGCCTTCAGCCACTCTGCCCCCACCCTCTGGAACTCCATCCCACAGTCCTCCGCCTCGCGCCCTCACTTGCCTCCTTCAAGACCCATCTCAAGACCTTTCTCTTCGACCGTGCTTTTGGTCACACTCCTTCCCCGCCCTGCCCTCCACACTCCCGACCGAGCTCGGGTCCGAAACACTGATTGTCCAGCGCCTTGGGACATCCTCGCGACGTGAAAGGCGCTTTACAATGTAATTCTGTTGTTGTTTCAACAAAGTGACACAGTGTTATGTTAAGTGCAATCGTTATTTGGGTATGCGTCTTTTTATGTAGAATATATAAAGCAATCAAGATAAAATGATGCTTCTATTAATATCTCTGTAGAACAGGAAGTGTACTGGACTGAGAAAAGGTTGACATGAAAAGACTTCAGGATACATTATTACCTGTAGGTTGCGGTTCACACACCCTTAATGTATTTGTTTCAATGGGAAGAAATGGATTAAAAGAACATTGCTGTACTGGGAACCTTGTGTTCTCAATTAGTGTTCAGTTAGATGGTCTCAGTGGCTCAGTTTAAGGAAGAGAAGATCAGTTAGGACTTTGGATCCTGGTCGCTATACAGGGTCTGCTGTTGTTTTGTGTGTGTATGTGTGGGTGGATACTGGGTGAAGACAAGACCACAGCACAGTTTTTGTCCGCAGACAGTCACTGTCAAGGATCATATGTGAATATTGGCTACGTAGGCAAATTGCCAGTGGACAATAATAATAATAATCCTTGCATTTGATGTCGCCCCTTATCACATTTTCGAGACGTCTCAAAGCGCTTCACGGAATATACCGCAAAGTGTAGTGACTGTAT